CTGCTTTTATTGTACTTGTGCTGAAGGAGAAAAACTATCATGGCAAAGAATACGTGGAATTCCCCTACATCCACCCAAAAGCCCTTGAATACAAAAGCACAAAGATGTTTCCTTGTGGGACAGAACAAGGATGGGTAGGTGGGCAAAACAAGGGCATTTTTCTCTGAGCCTGTGAAATATAACAGGTGCCCAAGAATATGCACCAAGATACTACCATAAGAAGTGCTGAAAGAAACTTTACTTTGCTGGATACAACAGTCTTTTCATCTGCTCATTGTATGAAAACATTGAAGGGTATTTTTTTACGCCAATAAACCAGAAACAGGCTTAATGGAGATAAAATTATGCCCAGTCTCTCTCCCCCCTTTCCCCTACCCCCACCACTTCTTTGTCTTCTTCACTCATAGGCACTCTCTTGCCTGGGGTCTCTTGCCCCCATGCACAAGGGCATAACGGCACTTTCCCAGCCTGGGTTCACAGGGGAGAGTACTTTCTCCCATTCTTGGCTCTCTGGCAGTTTGTGGAGGCAGCGGCCAGAACTAACAGATTTGTGAGATGATTATAAAGTAAGGACTTGGTTCCCATAACTATTGTTTTAACATTTGAAAAGCCCAGGAGCTTAACAAATTTTCCTTCTCTTTCAACCTTTAGGGGATGCCAACAGACAGATCAGCGACCTCAAATTTAAACTTGCAAAATCTGAGCAAGAGATAACTGCATTAGAACAAAATGTACGTGTACACTTTGTAAGCAATAACGGGCAGCTAAGCTGATGATTAACTGAAGTTTTACTTGCTAGAAATAGCCCTGAAAGGCTGAGGACAAAAATAAGCAGAGATTTTTTAGAACCAAAAAAAGGTCCTGAAGGGGATAAGTTAAGACAAGTCATTCAATTTCTTTCTTACAAAGAGAACAAGTAGGAAAGATAGATATTAGGATTTAGGTTGTTATAATAGATACTAATCCTTTATGAACAACAGTGAGTTGTAGAAAATAGCTAACTAATGTGGCTTGGGAGTTGTTCTTTTTTTCTTTTTAAAAATAATTTAATTGATTAACAAACACTTCATGCCAGGACGTCCCCCTTTCCTGGATTTTCAACTTTTCTCCCACAGCCAGGCCAGCTTTCCCTGGAGGCTAGACACAGGGAACATCCTGCCTCTAGCATGCTGGGCCCTGGAGCAACTTGTATTCTGCCCAGAGGGAGAGAAAAAAACAGGTCCTTTCCCCCTCAGTTGTGGGCATACTTGGCTGGAACTTTTTAGAATGTTTATAGAAACAAAAATGAGAAGAGTATACCTAGAAATGTTCTACAAAGCATGCTTTTGATTGCAGCAGTTAATGTATCTGGCAGGCCTTCACTGCTGCCATCATTCATCTCAGAACCTTGACTGGGGAATGCCATGCCAGAGCCTCCTGCTTTCACTCCCTCATCCTGTCCTTTCCTGCTTCCCACCCCACCACCCTGGGAGAGATTAGACTGGAGCTGAGGTCCTGGTGGAACCTGTGCCCTACCAGTGTCATTCTGCCACAATGCACCGTTTTCCAACAGAAAGGGAGAGAGAACAAAGGGAGAGAGAAGCAAGGTAGCAAGGGCACTGGTACCATGGAAACCACCCTTGTGGGCAGGAATCAGAGGAAACATGTCCCTATTGGTGTCAGCACTGGGTCACTCAGGAATATGAGCAAATAGCTTGCTTAGTTAGACCTTGTAAAATAGTCCAAAATGTTCTACCATAATTATGTGTATGGTGTATGCTCCCATTTATTAAATCAAGCCCTTTGATCTCAAATATGTTAAAGCAATTGAAAAAAGAAAACAGGCTTATGTATTTATACATGTGGTTTTTTTCTCCCTTTTAGGTAATACGGTTAGAGAGTCAAGTATCGCGTTATAAATCAGCTGCTGAAAACGCAGAAAAAATAGAAGATGAACTTAAGGCTGAAAAACGGAAACTCCAAAGAGAGGTAAATTTCCTAGGCTATTTCTAGGAAAAGAATGGGTAATAAATGTCCTTCTAGTTAGAACAGTACAGGAGGATTTACTACCAGTATAATTGCCACTTCCATTTCAAACCACCATGAAGTGCTGACGTCTTAGTAAAGGAAGTTGTTGTTCAAGCCAGTTAGGAGCTAAGGCCAGACCATCATTGGCATTAACTAGTTCAACTGTCACTTTTGAGTATCTCCTATAGGTCTCGTCCGTGAATGTCAAGCAAATGAGATAAAGGAAAGGCCAGGTGTCTTATGCTGAATATATTTGGAGTCATACAGGGTGAGCCTGGGTGGAGGAACCAGAAGTAGTGGTCTACTGTGGCCAAGAGCCCAGATGTGGCACAGGGGTGAGCCCAGAACTGTCTGCAATCAACCCTTGGAAAGTGCCCTTGAGAAGCCATGCTGCTCTCATGCTACCTGCTGGTCACACCTGCAAATTACTATGCTTCCAATCTTTTTTTAATTTTTATTTTAAAGATGTGGGGTACAATTCAGAGTTAGGTATACAAATGGTCATTGTACAGGTAAAGTCTGGGCCTCACTTTGAACCCCACTTCACGAACTAGCTTGAGATCAGGTACCCTTATTGAGGAAGTGTGCCCATCCCCCCCCCCCAGCAGTTTCCCACTATTGCCAATCCCTTTCTTGTAGTATTATGATAATTGTTCAGAGTCCACTTATGAGTGAGAACATGTGGTACTCAGTTCTTTGTTTCTGAGGTAGATCACTGAGTATTATAGACTCTGAGTCCATCCAAGTTGCTGCAAAGTTCATAATTTTGTCCCTCTTTACACATATTTTACCTTAATGAAACACTTGGCAAAGTTGTTAGTTCAACAAATATTTATAGCATCTACTGGGTACCTGGCATGGGTCTGGGTGCTGGGGTTACAGCTATGACCTTAACAGACAAAAGTCCCTCCCTTCTTAGAACCCACACTCTGGAGGAAGGAGGTCAACAATAAAAGTTTCCATATATATTGCAGCACTATTCACAATAGCAAAAACATGGAACCAACCATGCTGCCCATTGAAACTGGACTGGATAAAAGCATGTGGTACATATGCATGATGGAACATTACACAGCCATAAAGAAGGAAAAACATTTGGACTTCGTGGCAACTTGGGTAGATTTAGAGTTTATGATACTCAGTGATTAATCACAGAAACAAAGAACTGAGCAACACATGTTCTCATTCATAAGCAGACCTTGAACATTTACCATAATACTATAAGAAAAGGATTGGCAGTAGCAGGATACTGCTGTGGGTGGGTACCTGATCTCAAACCAGGCAAAGTGGGGACCAAAGGGAGGCCCAGACTTCACCTGTATGATGACCACTTGCATACCTAATCCTGAATTGTATCCCACATCTTTAAAAAAAAATTACCATATGCAGGTAGTGGCTAGGGCTGTGGTAATGGCTCAGGCCAGAGGCAGTTTTAGGTAGGCAGCCAAGGAAGACTTCCCTACTCGTAACATCTAAGGGTAGGCTTGAAGCTGGTCAGGGAGTGAGCCAGTGGAATTCAGAGAAAGGCCTTCTGTGCAAATGGATGAGTAAATGCAAAGAGAGATCCAAGTAGAAATGGTTAACAGGAGAGGAAAAGGAGGGAGCAGTCAGAGTGCCCCTGGGCAGGTGAGGCAGGACCCTTGAGGTCATGGACAGAACTTGGGCTCATTCTGTGAGTAAAGTGGGAGCTACTGAAAGGTTTTGAGCAGAAGAGTGGCATACATTGATTTACGTTTTAATAGGAGCCCTCTAGCTACTTTTGTGTTGAGACCGTATGAGAGAGAGAGTATAGGGATGAGAAGGTGATGGTGCCCTTCCTAGTGAGAATTGATGGTCATTCTAATGTGGTTTCTGCTACTTCTCTTACTGCCCTGATTCCCAGGCTCTGTGGACCTAGCTCCCATGTGTGACCGTCTTGGCCTCAGGGATTCCTACTTTGGTTTCTGGCTGCAGAATCTTGCTCCTGGCTACCTAAGGCTGTGGGGGAACCTCTGCCAATTGGTCTAGGTTCAGCTCTTGTTTGTTTGTTTGTCTCACTCACCTTTTGTGAAAACATCGGGATCCCTAAGAGTGTGACCTGTCTGAGGTTCAATTGTTATGGAGAAGAAGGTTCCCTAGTTACTCATGATGCCAGTATCATGTGCCTTCCACTACTTTTTAAATTAAGATGGTCACATGCACACACATGTATGTATGCATATAGTTTTAGGATTTTAAGCGGTCTTTGTTATCATTATATTTTTCAGTAGGATTGGAATTTTGGCAACACAGAACCCTGTTATATGGGAGGAAGTTCCTCAAAGCTCACTTCCTTTCCTCTGTTTCAGCTCCGCTCTGCATTGGATAAAACAGAAGAGCTCGAGGTGAGCAACGGCCATTTAGTGAAGCGTTTGGAAAAAATGAAAGCAAATAGGAGTGCACTCTTGTCCCAGCAGTAAATACTGGCCAGCTCTGAACAGGCAACTGGTTGGTGACTGGAGAGCATTGTTTCATAGGTTTTTCTCTGTCCTGTCTGGGAGCGCTGCTTCTTCCCCTGCCTTCTGAGAGAAGAAGACTGTGGTGAGCTTGGCTCTTAGGTGCCATGACCCACCTGAGGGAGCCCCAGCAGCCACCAGATGCCTGTCTGCAGACCCCTTGCCCAGGCTGGGGCCAACACTCAGAACCTGCAGGGACTTCAAAAGCACACAGGGCCTCAAGAGAGCTTTGTATCTGATGGCACAGCATCTTCTGAATGTCACTGAAAATGGTGATCAAAGTAAAGATTAAGGTGGGACTTGAGTTTTCATTTCATATGTCTTGCTGAAGATTAAGGGGGAAATGTTACAGTTTGGGGACTTCCTTTCATGGCAGAATCTACAATTTGAGCGACTATAGTAGTATCTCTTAGTCTACGCTTTTCATACACAAAACACTGTGGAACCACAAGCCATTACCAAGCAAAACTCTTTCACTGGAAACAAGGGGATGGTCTAGAAGTAAAAGTGACCTTAAGAAGACTCTTTACAGGCAACAAATGAAGCTTTTCTAAGGGATTTTTGCAACAGTTCAGTCATAAGAATACTTTTTTCCAGGGTAATTAGGCAATAGCTTCACTGAAGATGACAGCTTTTCATTTGCATTATTTAATCCTTATATTTGGAATTGAAGTTGTTAACTTCTTTTTAAAGAATGTACTATTAGGAAAATAAAAAATGAAATGTTGAAAGATTTTAGCAATGTGGTTTTTACTTTTTCTAACTGAGAAAGATCTTTAACTGATGTCATATTAATTATTCAGTATATTCTGGGTCTTTTCATTTGTTAATGTGTATCAAATCATTTTTCTTTCCCTATTTAAAAAATTCTGCATATTCACAGAATTGGTGCATTTAGAATAAAATAAACTGAAGAAGTAGGAGATAGAACAGAGACAGTGACAATATCATTAAAGACAAAAGTTAAAAAATTTGGCTACTTGCTGATTTTTAATTACTCTTTTTTATATGTTATGTTTCAAATATAGCTGGTTAAGCAGACTAGGCTTTCAGGATATTAGCTAGTAGATGCCAAGACAGTATCATCCAAACCATATCTAATCTTAACACAAGGAGAATACTGCGGTGAGCATGTGAATTCAGGGTATATATAATTAAGAAAATGCTCCCAATACAGGGCTAACAGTCACCAGCATCCATCTCCCAGAACTACATGGATCCAGGATATATACAGCTGCACTTCATTAGGTACAAGATGAATTTTCATCTCTTTGTGCAGAGGATATTTGCCACCACGTTGGGAGGCAAACATGTTACAGAGTGCCAGGAGCTGACACTGGCAAGTAAGAAACCATGGGCCAGGACCCGCATTGCACCATATGAACAGGAAGAAGAAAATAAACTTCCAGAACCCTCTCCTGACCATATCAGGCCAGCTGGTGCAGTTCATTGTCTCATTCTTAAGGTTTCTTCCACAACATCTTAATACAAACATGTTTAACCAGGAAAACATCTATATAGCTCACAAGTAATGCGAATAGCAAACACTCATATAGCACATAGAGATGCCTGGCCATATTCTTAAACTTGTAGGTATTTTCACTCACTTAGTTTTCACATATTTTTCACTCATTTAATTTGAACAAAACTCTATGAAGTAGATGCTGTCATTAAGTCCATATTACAGATGAGGAAACCTGGGCCCAGGGAGGTTAGTTGATCAAAAGTCTCAACAGCTGGTAAGTGCAGGCCTGCAAAGTATCAATTCACAGTTTTCTCACCTGCCCTGAGAAGATGATGTTTTTCAAATCAGTGGCTCTGAGGAAGTCAAGCCTTCAACCTCTACCTTTCCCACTAATCCTTATGGAAAAAGTAAATCAATGTTAGACACATTTCCTAATCCAGAGGAAGCTAGAACACGATTTTTATGTTTTTAGTAGGATAAAACTTTTCTTGCAGGTGTAGCTACTGGGAATTTATCACTGAGTTTTTTTATCCTTGTTACTCAGCATTTCTCAACCTCAACACTACTGTCATGCTGAACTGGATCAGTCTTGGTTGTTGGGGGTAGCTATCCTGTGCACCAGAGGATGTTGAGCAGCATCCCTGAGCTCTACCCACTTGATGCCAGTAGTAGATCCTACTCTCAATCATGACCAACAAAAATGTCTGCTGAAGGGTACAAAAGTGCCCCCCAACTCCATTGGAACCAGTGGTCTAACCTGAATTAGAAGATTCAGAAAAGAGATAGTTGAAAACCTGCACCAGGATAGGATCCCTGTTGTATGTTTCCTACAAATTGTTTTCATTTTTAGAAATGAAATGGCATAGAGAAGCCCACTCGAGACATCATCAATGAGTAACATAAATGCAGTTCAGAATTGCAACTATTTTAGAGATCCTATTTTAATAGTCAAAATGTTGATTAAAGAATCAAAGTTTCTGTTGATATTTTTGAAAATGTACATTATTTTGTAAATATAGATT